TCTCTCCCCTTTTTTCCGAAGATCAGAATTTCAGGCCCCGCTGGATTCGCGCCTTGTTTGCCGTTAATTATTCTTTTAGATTCTATAACTAACACAAAGCCTTATAACTTTCTGTGAAATCCTTGCTAATCAATCAAATTTATGCCAACATAGTTAAAAAAAGTGTTTCTGATATTTACAAAAGATTATAATTTTTAACCATCAGAATTTTTTTTTAAATACTATAACTTTTACAATAGTCTACAATGTATTCGGCGATAGGTGGGGTTCGGTGTCTGAGGCACCCCTGGCTACGAGCCTGCAAAATAGGGCATTGGTAAGCACGCACGGACAAAAAATAAATTCTGTTTAAATGAGTCGGGGGAAAAAAATGCCGCGCAATGAAAACGACTACAAACTGAGAGAGCTGATACAACCTTGAAACCAGCGTCCTGCATATGCACCACCCAAAATTGTGTTGTATAAAAAATAACTAAATGTGACATTATTTTGCTAGTTTGGTTACTGAAAGGAGTCTTTTTGAGTTGCCTTTTGGGTTATGCTTATCGGAAAAGATTACACACGCTTATCACTATTATTACTAAACAGTGGATGAATATGTATCGTAGTGGTCAAGCTAGTGAATGTCAAAAGATGGCTGAATGTGGATAAGGAAGTTACTATCAGAGTCGTAGCTAGGGTTTTCAGCGCCCAGGGACAACTGAAGATTTCGCGCCCCCTTCTGCTTGCCAAAAAGGGAAAACATTTAATTCTAGAATGTCATAACATCAGTTTGGCGCCCCTTGGATTCTGCGCCCGGGGACAGATGCCCCCTCTTGCCCCCCTCTAGCTACGCCCCTGGTTACTATTCATATTTATTAAAAGAACGCTCCATGAAGAAATGTGGTGCGTCAATTTTAACCATATTCCCATCCTAATCTAAAATATACTGCAGGACTATGGAGAGTTAGCTAGGGTCTTGAAGCGAACCTATGAGTAAAGCCCCAAGCCGAATATAAGATCTCATTTGCCGAAACAACTTTTGGGAAAAAAAAAAAAAAAAAAAACCAAACAGCATTTGGATTCCTCTAGAATCTTATGCTCTGTTACTTCAGTAATGCTTCCATTTCTCTCGTCCCATCTGTTGTTGAAGAAAATATTACTGTGCTATCCTTAATTAAATGACATCGACTATTCTTTCCTGCTATTCAGGTTACAACATTTCTGAATATGAGGTGGTAGTTTGGTTTAGACTTAGTGTCCAGTTTCGAATTATTTTTAACTTGTAGACTTAGTGAAGAGTAACCATATTCAAGAATTTTAATCATCATTAATATTTTGATCGAGCAATCCAGGCAGAGTGAGACAGTCAGGAATCCGAACTGATCACCTAATTTTAAAAATAAAAAAGAACAGACAACATTCTCCCTTAAATTATCTTAACTGTCACGAATCTGCACTGAAAAATGAAATGCAAGCAAAGACGTTTCGTGCACTAAGTGATGAATGCAAAGACTCAACAGCAAGCTGAAAGTGGAACTCCTCCACAAAGTTCTACTTTTACAAGTACTTTCAATTCTAATTCAGAAATCTGCTGTTTAGTTGAAATTAAATTCCTTCCCTCGGATGAAAAATCTGATATACAAGATTCTGCAAATCATAAATTAACTGAAGAAATACTCAGTTGTCTTTATAACTGCTGCACAATATTAGCCCAGGGATATATATGTCAATTAAGTTTTAGAATAACTATTAGTGATTGAGTCTTTTCGCAAGTGGAAAAAAAATCTAACGGGAATTCCTTGACCATGAAAAGAAAAAAAAATATCATGAGCATCCCATATGTCTGCTGATAATTTTTAAAATATCATTCTAGACCATACACAATCCATAAATCATGTTGCCAGCACTTATCAAGCAAAAGATAATGGCAGAACGCTTATTATTACCAAAATAAGTGATCTTCTATGGAAAAATCGATTTCTATTCCAAGGTCATCATGATCATGGGCAAATAAATATAAATTATGATAATGGCTAAATCTCGTAAGAATGAAAGAAACTATCAGATCCTCAGATTTTGAGTTGATGCAGGTAACTGCATATTAAAAAACTCATTTAGAATCCAGCAATATGCAATAACACAATGTATATTTCCCCCAAAATACAAAATGAAATCATAAATGCTTGCAATTCAGAAAGATTGTTGAAGAAGCGAACATTTTCAATTATAGTTGATGAAACTACAGATATTTCTTCACAAGACCAAATATTTATTTGCGTGTGACATGTAGAAGAACGTGAAAGGAAATTTTTACAAATCCTATTTATAAAGCCGAAATGCAAAGATTAGGCTAATGCCATTTTATAGGTACTTTCATATCAATCAGCTTATATTTGAGAGGTCAAGGCTATGATGATACTGCAACAACGTCAGGGATATTCAACAGTGCAACAAGCTAAAATGAGAGATGGAATTCCTTCAGCAGTCTGGGTGCCTGTTTTTCTCATTCCCTCAATTTGGTAGTTTTTAATGCATACCATATTAAAGATATTTGCACTGCATATGCATGGTAGAAAATGGTCATGCACTTCAGAAGATGGTGTTCACCCCTATCATGTCTATTTGAGCTGAAGCAAAATTCGTTGGAAAAGTAAAAAGTCCATCAGATCTCTTACCAATTGGTATGCCAGGTGCTTTTCTTGGTAAGCCTATTGTAGCCACAGGCGTTGATGGTTTTACATCAGGGGAATCTTGTGCAAGGGAAATACATGCATGCAATTCATGGCACAGCAACTGGCGAACTGTTGAAGCTTAAAACATTGCACTTGCTGCAGTGCTCCTGAATTGCACCAGTTGTGAAGATGAAGCTGCATGGTCCATCATTGTCACCTTGAACTCACATAATATTTCAAGGTCAAATGCCAGGTTGTCCAACCCACTACTTCCCCACATGCATCACTGATAAGGAATTATTTAAAATATGACCTGCAAGTTTAGGAAAGAAAAATCCTCCTTCTTATAGACCAAGCATTAGCTGCCATTGAAGCAGCATACTTGCTCGTACTGGGCCCTTTGTTCATCAATAAAGTATAATGATTTGTCATGAAACATTTACTGCTGACAGATAATGAAATACTGCTTTTAACCTTTTAACCTTTCTACTAATGTCCCCTATTTTTATGGCTAGCATAACAGTTTAGAGGGAAGCCTATATTTGTGCTATCACTCTGAAATTATAATGATTTGCATTTCCTATAAGTTCCAGGTCATTCCCATGATTCCTTCACATTATGGTAATTTTCAAAATATGGTGTGTAAATATATTTTTACAATACAATTTTATGATGTATATTTCTATCACTGTGTTTTACCATTGCTTCTATATTTTCTTTTTTCATGTCTTTGCCAAATTTCCTTCTGAATAACTTGCACCCATCTGATTTGCTGATTGTTAATTTTACTTTTATACCCTCCTTCAAAAAAAATACTTGGTGCCAAAATCTTAAAACTTGTTAATAAATTCTTTTGCAAATTCTAATACCTTCATTATATTAGCTTTATTTATGAATGGTTCCTGTTTAACTATTAGCATAATATCCAGACCTTTTTTTCAAATCAAATTTTTAATTATTTTAGAATGAACTTTTTATTGGGAGTAGTTTCCCGAAGTTCCGATAAAGCTGAAGAAATAAAGGCTGAAGAAGTTCCGATAAAGTTTCTTCAACTTCAGAAATACTTAAAAAGGATTTAATGTAATTCTGTTTTCAAAATGTATTCATTTCTCTTGCTTAGCTTCAATGTTCTCTCAGAATGATACTTAAAGTACCAACAGGTACTTTCTACAATTTCCATCTTTTTAAAATTATTTGCAATATATTGCACAGTAAGATGAATTCCTTTTCATGTCATATTGAAATTTTCCATTTTTGAGCAATTCTATAATGAGGATTTTGAAATTTCTAAGTTGGCATTTCAGTTGATTCACATTTTTATACAAAAAATATCCAAATATTTACAAAAGCAACTTGTAAAACAAGCAAAAGTAAACGATGGATTACATAATGCCATGGTTACTGCTGACATTATAAAAAGAAATTTGTTTACAAGAAGACAAGCATTTTAATGGTAAGAATACTTTTTTCCTTTACAATTTTAAACATTTTAGATGTTTTAACAAGTATTTTTCCATTAGTTTATCATATTTACAGAAAATATCTTAGTTTTAAGCATCTGAATTTTCTGATACTTTGACACACATTGAAAGTTGTAAGCTAATTTGCATAAAGTAAATTGGCTTAAAAATTTGTATCCATAGTGTATGAATCTGTTTTTGCCCTTGCTGTATTTGTTAAAAACTCTGTGCTTAAGTGTTTAAGTAATAGATATATTTTCTGCCAAGAGTGACTTGTTATAATACTGCAACTCAGTGTGAAGAACTGTATGACAAAACAAGCATTTAACATTTTAGACATTGTTCATAATATAATAAAATTAACTATATTTAAAAAAGGCAGTTTGCTGAAAAATGTTAAAAAATAAGGTATTGAATTTTATTGAAACAAATATTTTTCAAATAATTTACAATGAAAATAAGTTGGTTGTAGTTTAACAAAAAATAGCTTTTTTTTTTCCCCAGAAATTATAATTTTTAAGGATCTTATCACCAGCAAGATACAAACAGCAGCAATTCATGATTTGATTATTTATTCCAAATCAGTTATTAAGAAGAATGGTTAAGCTGCTTTACATTTCTATTTTAATCATTTGAAGTATGCAGAAAGGTATGCACTTTATTTCAGAGAAAAAATACTTTCCTATTCAAATGACTATAAACTTGAACAGCAAGCATCACATGAGGTATGACTTTCTTTCAAGTTCGGAAGTGCAGAAAATACTACAATATATCTCAGGCATAATCAGATGTAAGTTCTCTTCATGGATATTTATGTGTATCTGAAGGTAGATGTCCTTGCAGTTGGTTGTTTTGTGTGGGAAATAAAATCACCTGTACCACTTCATAAAATCAACATGAAGCTTTGAGGTAACATTGATTGCACAATACCTCTGAGCTTCACCAAAATTTTATTGCTATATAACCCAGTTTTTTTTTTTTTTTTTTTTTTTTTTTTTTTTTTTTTTTAGGAATGTACGGAGTCATTCGGATTTAGAATCTACTTGATGTAATGTGTCAGAGCTTGATCCTTTTTCATTCCTAATGACATTCCCAAATTTATTTCTTAATGAAAGCAATAAGCATAGTTCTAACTAGATAAAATTTCAAACTGTAGTCAATTAAAATTCAGGAATAACATTTACAGAAAAATCAGTTATTGACAATGGCTTGAATTCTATTGCAGGTGACAAAACCATAGCTTTATGGCCAGATTCCTGAAACATATTCATAAGCTTTCTGATTTCAGTACTTTGGTCCTGAAAATTAAAATTTACAAGTGTTTAGTTTTTTATTTAATATATCTACACTAATGTTACAAAAGTACTGGGTTGTTATCAAAAAACTTTCCTGATATATGAATCCCTAGTGGGCTACATGCTCAACCAATCAAAAAAAATTAGATATTGCTATTTGAATGTGGACCTTGAGATTGTGATAATTTAAAGCAATAAATCTATCATAATTACAATGAAAAAATTCCAAAATTTCTTAATGGAAAACACCCACTTTTTTGCTGCACGAGTTAATCAGTGCATCGAAAAAACATAAACGACATTGGAATGATACATGTTTGATGGAAATTACTGGCATAAAACATTTGCAAAGAAGAGTACAGTAGAGGGTCAATGACAACACAAGTGAGGAGAGTTGGAAAAAACTTTTATTAGAATTACAAGCTTTCAACGTGTGCGACATTTCAAGATACAGACCTGTCTAATAACTTTGCAGTTTCACATCTAATCACGATCTCCTGACCTCACTCTGATAGATTTCTGGTACTGGGACATCAATCCATGAGATTTGGCAGAATTGAAAGATGCAAAGTTATACAAAACGCTAAGTTATACAGATTATTCCTCCGATGTTATGCTTAGTATTGTTGTCAGCAATCTCCTGCATGCAATATGTTATTGTCTGTAAAGGTGTGCATGTTGAAGACTTCCAACAAGAATTCCAATAACAGTTCCTCCCTCCTCTCTTGTGTTGTCATTAGTCCTTTATAATGATCTTCTTAGAAACTGTTTTATGCTGGCAATTTTTGTCATAGGTGTATCTTCCAACATCATTTATGATTTTCAATGCATTGATCAATTGCAAAGGAAAAAGCAGGTGCTACTATTAAAAAATTTAAATTTTTTTTACTGTTCTTGTAACCGAGAGAGTTCCATTGTTTTAAATCACCACAATGCCTTCAAATAACAATATATAAAATTTCATTTCGCCTGGTTGAGCAGATAGGCTGCTAGGGGTTCATATATCGAAGAAGTTTTTTTATGACCAACCAGTATAAGAGTTGCATTAAAAGAAATTAGAAAACAGATATACTCACAAATGTTAAATATTTATTTTAATATATTGATCAACAAAATAATTCCACCTTGATGAAAAGTTCACAAAATCTAAGAGATGAAATTTTCTGTTCATTTCTAAATAACATTTCTGCTGTATACACATGTCCAAAATTTAAGAATGAGTGACATTTTTGCTTGAAAATCGTACATAAATGAATGCAAAAGTGATTTATTTTCTAATACAGTCACAAAATAATAATAAACAAGTTTGAAATAAGAAATTAATGTAATGGCAGCAAGTCTTCAACACAGAAGGAACTAGGCATAGAAAATGGATGAATTAAATGTATTCATCAAATGTATTGCTCGGTCTTCACGTTCCTGTCGTTTCTCTAGGCCTACCGCTTCCTTCTTGATGCTATGTGCTGCCATGGTTCACCCATTCCTGCCAACATCATCTAATAGTGGCATTGCTCCTGCTCATATGTCGAGCTATTCACCGATAAGATCAACCAGATTCTTTGAGCCCAACTACACGACCTCTCTCAAATTCTGACATCTGCGCATATCGTTCGCGCACCTGTATGTTAGGCATAGTTACTGTCTACCAAAGTACATGGAATGAAATTCATGAAGAATTTATGACCTGGAATCGTAATTTATCCTCTTAAATACCCTGCCAGATGCGCTGTGGCGACAACCATTCATTCATTGGCAGCCAAAACGTAAAATTTTGCATTTTACGTCAAAACCTGTATGCATATCAATTTGTGTCAAATTTGCTTTATATCTTGTTGGTGCATTGTTTTTTTCTGTCTGATTGTGTGTATATATATACGTAACGCTTTTAATAAATCCAACTAATAATTAATAAAAGAGATAACTGCATTTATTGCTTTTAAGTGGGTTAGTTCGTTAATCAGTATCAGGCAGATTAAATGTAAAAGAAAAATTAAATATCTTATGCTTCACCCAAAAGCATCAAACTGGCATGTGTAATTTAAAAGTATTTTGTGTTGGATATGTTTCGAACTCCTTATAAACTGTTAAATGTTGCCATACATTTTTTATATTCTCTACGTTATTTCTTTAAAAATCATATATGGCAATAACATTTGGTGCCAGAATCCTTTTATTTGTATTGCCATATTTTTTTATATCGACTATATTTTTTCTTTAAAAATCATTGTAATAATATTTGATGGCATCATTTTAAAAGTGATAAGGGCAAAAAAGTGCGGTTTGAGACTAACAGCACCTTTGTAGCTATAAAAATTAATTTTTGTCAAAAGCGTTTTATAGAAAAACACAACAACAGAAAATTCTTCAAATGTGAATTTTATTCAGCATCATTTTAAAGAGAAATTATCATTATAATAGAATTGGTTGTAAATTTCTTCAGCTGAAATCACATTTCATAACTGGAAATACCAGTTCAAACTGTAAGCAGTTTATGCTGTGTCATACTCTAAATTTCTCAGAAGTTACTGGATTTTTGGCAGAAGAAGAAAACAGTTTCCAGAAATATATGTGCTATATAATTTAAAATAAGTCTAAAAATATGAATAAAAACTAAAGATTTTTCCAAATTTACTTATATTTCAACTGATACATGACACGTGATGTGTAGTAAATAATTTCAAACAATTTTATTAAAAAGGAATGAATTAAAAATTAAAAATTATTATATTTTTCAGTAACTAGATATTTAATACTTGGCTCAATATACGTAGGTAAGTTGAAAAATAAGTTTCCCCTGTCGACTGTGGTCAGAGTTGTGTATGAAAGTCAAAAAATAGAATGAGACATTAAAGATATAACATACCTTTATTTTATTATTCTCGTACGAGTACGTTGAGACATTTGTCATATCGCTTGATAAGCTTCAAAAAGCCCTCCAGGAAAAAATCAGGGCTTTGCATATGGAAGAAGCATTGAACGGCTTGTTTCACTTCAGTATTGCTTCCAAAGCGCCTTCCCCCGAGATTTTTCTTCAAAGCGGAAACAGATGGAAGTCGCTTGGTGCGAGATCAGGACTGTATGGCGGATGGTGTAGGCGCTCCCAACCAAGAGTTGCAATATGGTTTTGCGTTGTCATCGCCGAATGTGGTCTGGCATTGTCATCCAACAGCAGAACGCCAGATGTGAGAAAACCAGGCCGCTTTTTCCGAATCGCCTCTTTCAATTTCGACAGGGTGTCACAGTAGCACGTAGCATTGATGGTTCCAACCTCCAAAATGTCCAGCAACAAAACTCCTTGGGCATCCCAAAAAACTGTGAGGAGCACTTTACCTGCAGAGGGAGTTGTCTTGAACTTCTTTCAGACAAGTGATGACGGATATTTCCACTCCATAGATGTGGCCTTCAATTCTGGCGTGAAATGGTGGACCCACGTTTCATCCCCCGTCACAATCCGAAACGGAAAGTCATGGCCATCTTCATGGTAACGCACGAGATGTTCCAGGCTGACCCCCATGTGTCGTTCCTTGTGTGTCGAGGTCAATTGTCGGGGCACCCATCGTGCTGACACTTTTCTGTATCGAAGAATGTCGTGGATGATGTTTTGAGCTCGCTCATGTGAGATTTCAAGTTCTTCTGCTACTTCATCGATGCTGATACACTGGTTCGCTCTAATCATGTCATCCACCTTCCTGACATTTGCATCTGTAGTGGCCGTGCGTGCCCGTCCAGCTCTCGGTATGTCCTCCACTTGCTGACGTCCATCACTGATAGTGCGACACCATCTCCGCACCATTTGCTTCGACATCACACCTGGCCCATAGACTTCCACGAGGTGGTTATGAATTTCTGTTCCTGATACTCCACATGCCCATTCATAGTGGATAACCGCTCTCACTTCCTCCTTTGACCACAAATTCAAAACGCACCTTCTCTCCATACCTACTGGGGCTCAAATGAGAGGCTGGTCTCCGCTTTGTGCAGGCACTGCAACAGCGCCATCTGCTTGATTTGCAGCGACCTCTAGCCAATGGTGTATCGGTGACTTGCGTGTTTTCCTGCTGTGTCGCCTTTCGCCCATAGCCGTTCAACGCTTCTTCCATATGCAAAGCCCTGATTTTTTCCTGGAAGGCTTTTTGAAGCTTATCAAGCGATATGACAAATGTCTCAATGTACTTGGTACCTATGTGGAAAAATAAAGGTATGTCATATCTTTAATGTCTCATTCTATTTTTTGACTTTCATACACAACTCTGACCACAATCGACAGGGGAAACTCATTTTTCAACTTACCCTCGTAATTTAAGAGCAAGTTTCATTAATGCATTATAAAGAACATTCAATTTTTATTCTTACTTGATCAAATAAAGATCTTTCCACAGAAAATGTTCCCAGGTTGCAGCACTTTGACATGATAAACACTGTTTTCATATACATTTCTCGAAATACCTTCTTCCTGTAGGAACTTTTTTTCTATCAAAAGAAATACTGATATCAATAAAAACAACGTAGTCAGTAATCACCTTCCTTCCTGAAGAAAACATTCTAAATAAATACAAATCTCAACAAACTATAGTTCCATTAATCTGCCATATAATAAATAAAAACACGACAAAAAATTTCAAAGTTATGTTGAGCAATGCTAGAAACTTCCATACAATAATCTGGATGCTAAATATACTGATTAAAATAAAATAAAATAAAATCTTAGATCAAATACCAGATAAATTTAAATTTCATCACTTTAAATTGTGGAAATAAATAAATCACAAGCAGTCAAAACCATCAGAAGGGAGGGAGAAGTTTAAATAAATTTAAAAAACAATTTTGCTTAAAAATAATTCTGAGTTGCAGGATTGAAAGAGCTGGCTGGAAGAATTTTTCATGGTTTTGCATTTTCCTTGAGTGTAAATATTCAGTTCTCCTTAAATGTTTCTACACAAAGGCATTCTTTCCTGCAGGCTGACAAGGCAAATCTGCTTTGCTAAAGGCAAAATATAATGATGCAAACCTTTCCTTTCAATCAAAGTGTGGTGATTTACATAGACATCTGCCATAGCTTAAGTAGCAATATAATGTTTCTAAATAAATCATTCAAAAACTGCTAGAGTAAATATTGCAAAATGATTGCTCACAGATACAGAGTTCTGGTTAAATAACTGATTAAGTTAGGTTATTTGAATATTTTATATGAACGAGGGCTATCTGCCTAAGAGGAGGGGTACCTTCGTGAAGGACTTTCTAAGTGAAACGGGCTGATATTCACATTACAATTAAACCTTCGAATTAAATACTAATAAATAAATAAAAACAAAACAAAACTGAAATTACTTCAAAAATAAATACACACAGGGAAAACCAACCACACAGCCAGCCCATTCGCCTGAGATCAAACCAGGTTGAATTACCAGCATTCAGTGATCTTAAGGAGAGAGTGAACATTCAAATACTTTTTTAAAACTTTCTGGCAGAGAGGAATGAAATTTTGCATATAAATATCAAATACCTTTGTAAAAAATTTCTCCCTAACTGCAATTTTAACATTTTCTTAAAATTAAGATTATCCCCCCTAAAAAATGCTCCATTATTAATGTTGTAAATTTCTTGCTACTTTCGCTTTATTTTTATTGAAAAATACATTACAAACAGAACTCAGTATTTATTTGTAAACTGCATGAAACATTAGTTTTTAATGACTATAAATTTTATGTATATAAAAATTTTGGACAAAATTTTACTATTTAATACCCATTAATTGAGTTTTTATTCCTTTTTTAAATTCACGTTTTAAAATGAATATAAATTTTGTTAACATATATAAAAAAAGAATCTAAATTACAAATTATAATTGTTTTGAAAAGGATTTAAAAGTGCACGCAGCATTTTGAAAATCTAATATCACAAAAACTTCATTTTGAGGAAAACACACTTTAAAAATATTTAAATTAATTAAGATTTGAGTTAAAATAATATGCCAAATAATGATTATTGGAAGAGTTAAAGCAACAAGAATCAGCGTAATATTCATAAATTTGCTGAACAAATTTCAAAGGTTTAAATACAGAACCTTCTTCTTCAGCTGCAGATCCAATAATAACAATTAAAATCTTTAATACTAACACCTCAGTACCTCTTAATGCATGCTTTTATTGAACATAAAATATTTTAATGGAATTTTATTTAATGCATAAATATTTTTTACAAAGAAAGCAGTATACAACGGTAAGAAATAATTTTATATTATTTCAAAAAGTTTCTCATACACTTTGGTTAAATTCAACAAAATAGTTATTTTTGAGCTTCAAATCCTTCTTACTTCCAAATCTTGAAAGCCCCTCGTACCATGACTTTCCCCGCCTCATTCACATTTTAGTGAAGTTAGCTGTAGTAGAAATATCATACTGAAGATGTATTGATATGTCAGGGTTTGCTGAATAATTTTTGGCAATTGTGGTGTAAAGTCTATCTACTGCCTTTAAAAGTGTTTGTTATGCAACTCCTATCGATGTGGCACATGAATTTAAAACTGGTGTTGTCATGTTAAGACAAGATGGGAAGTTATCTCACTATATGTGGACACTCAGGAAAGTCAAACTCACACAGAATGATATGGTTAGGTAGGTAGTTGCACTTTAAGGACTACTTCTTGAATGTTAAGGAGACCAGTGTAATTACTTTATTATTCAGAAATTTGGAAGTTTGTAACAGCATCTTAGTTTAATTTCATATGATTAAATTTTTATTTCTGATGGATTTCTTCCTTCCAAGAGAGGGGGGATGCAACAGGATATTCATGTAAATATTATTGTCAGCTTGGCATAGCGGGAGGATGCACAGCGTGCACTTTAAAGACTTTTAAATAGAATAGTGTTGTACTTAGAACCAAGCTACTGAAGGTAATAGTTGGCTACTGAGTGACTGAAATGCTGCTGCTAGGTTTTTAGTCTTATTTCTGCCTTTATTTCCACTGCCATGTGGGTAATGCTACAGTAGAAGAACAAAACTATTAATCCTGAAGAATAATGAAATTATTCACTTAAAAAAGAGCATTTCTATTTGGAGTCAGATCTATTGAATTATTACATAATCTCTTTCCTTGAAACTCACAGCTGAGATAGAGAAAAATGAATGACTGAGTGGATAAGATTGCTGAATACTGGTAGCTTGACTTATATCTAAATCAAAGTGAACAGGCTAGCTGCATGGTTATTTTCATTATTTTCTCAGAGTGTAAAATGTATAAAAGCCAGGTTCCACTAGAATGTCCCACATGAAGGCATCCATTTTTCTTAGGCAGATAGCCTTAGCATTCTTTGCCACAATGAAATAATTTAATCTACAGAAGAATAGAGATTAAAGTTTGAATAATCTGGCCATTTGTTACAATGTTAATCCTTTCTTTAAAGACAAATCATTTTCTTAATGATAATTGGGAATTCAGTAAATTTCAATACTGTTTTTGTCTTTCGAGTACGAAACTAGTTGCTTTCTCAAACATTTTAGAAAGAAGCATTTTTAATATTTTTTCAAAGTATCTCATTCAATTTTTCAAGTCAACAGTAACAGAGTCTGTTTCTTTGTAGTTCTGTCCTACAATTACCAAGCAAAAATTTAATTGACAGTTATATGGCTTTATTTTATAACAAAAGATTTTCCTTTTTATTTTTTTTAAAGAAATATTTTATTACAATTTAAGGGCAAAAACTAACACCATCTTTTCAGCATCTTATAATAAATTTTTAACAAAAATAAAATTAAAATTTTTTCTTATGAAAATTTAAGTAAAAATTTTTAAAATGTACCACACACTTTTTTTTAACAATAAGCCAACAAAACTAAGTAGACAATAAATCAAAATTACAGCCACATTTCAACATTATATATATAAAGAAAACCTACATAAATATGTTGGAGGGGTCTGAATACTTACAAGATCATTCAGTTTTTCACTCTTTACCCTTTCTGTCCATAGTATCTAAAATAAAGAAGTAACATTACAGATTTACTTCTGCTTCACAAAAGTTTTGTTATCCAGCATAAAACATAAATTTTATTTCACCAAGTAACAAACTTTCAAGGTAACCTAAATCTAATGACAAATAATAATTTTAATAAAATTGTTACACAGCATTAATTGTTAATCTTTGCATTGCTATGCTACTTGAAAATGTTTTAGTTTTGTAAGTGATATATGGTTTAAAAATAAAAATGTCGATGCTTGACTAATATGGTGAAATTCTTTAAAAACTTCATTACGTCTGTCTGAAATTTTAGTCTTAAGATAACTGGTAGTGGTTGTTGAGATTGAAAATTGAAGCTAGTCTTTGTGTTTAACCCTTTCCGCATGGGTGTGTTGTATATGCCATGGTAGCATTCAGTTCATCAATGGCAGGTGTAACATTTGGATTTCAAAGGATTAGTGACTGGCTAGACTGCTATAATGTATATGTGACAACCACATGGAATGAGATGTAAATATTTTAAATTCTATCAAATGGTGCCCTATGTCTATGGTACCAAGATAAATGGGAACTATGATGCCTGAATTTTGACATTGGACTGTTTCATTTGATTCTGAAAGGTTGATAGCAGGATTCAGTAATGTAAACAAGAGTGCTGAGTCAACGCATGTGCATTTTTGTTGGTTTCTTTTGAGTGGCTTTGTGAGGGAAGAGTATCTGGCGCAAGTCGAAATTTTATTTAGTTTCTTCTTTTCGTAAGTAATGTAGGGTATTCTGTCTTTTGTGTGAATGTAAGTTTTTTGGGATTTTTTCCCGTTAAGATGAAAAAAGGGAAGGTGATATTTATAATGCCATTTCACCTTTCAGAAAAGCTTTTTCTAATTCTTAATGAGAACAGGAGAAAATGAGAAGATGCATTGTTTGCTCCTAAGCTATGCAGAGGAAGCGAGCTTTGGGAAAATCATTTTACTTTGAATGCAAAGATTGTAATGAAGGACTCTGCGTGAACCCATGCTTCAAAATATATTACAGAGAAAACAAATTTTAAATTACATTGTAAATATATATGTGCATGTGTGGATGTGCCATGTGTACGTTTGTTGCTTCACATTAAATAATTTAATTGTAGTTTAAAACATACTGAACATTTGTTTTAAAATTCCTCTTTGATTATATATATATATCATTACAGCTTCAAAATTTATAAGTATTTAATTCTGCAAGTCACCAAGCATAAAGATTAATGCATTTTTTGAAATATTTGAAAAACTTGAGTAAATCCGAATAAAAATGCATTTTTGATGGATTTTTTTTAGCAAAATTAGGGTTAGTGATCGAGGACCTGCCGTTCTGCGGAGACATCATGGAAGCCCAGCACTGAATCTCATAGCAAGAGGCTAGTAGATCAGGCAGCCATCTGGAAGGGGTTAAAAAGAAAAGTAATGCAGGGCACGTAAGTAGCAGCATTTTTATGAATACAGTGCTTTCTATGAAAATGTTTCATCTTATTACTAAATTCAACTAATAGTATGATATTCTAAATTTGAGCTCTTATATTAAAGAAGTAGATTTATTAAGTAATATTTGAGTATTTCCATTTTGAAATTTGAACTCTTGTATTAGGGTCCCAAATTGAAAATTTTGTTGTGTGAAGCAAGTTAAAGGCTTGAATTTTTTTATTTTGGTCTAGTAATTCTTTATTAGAACCTTGGCATATTTTTATTGTGATGTAAGAAATATGATTGTGTATATCTTTGAGATAAAATACTTTGTATATCCAAATTTCTAATTTAGAACAAAAAATAAACTTGTAGATTGTGCTAGATGATTAATTTCCCAAGCTGAAATTTTGTATATTGGCTTTTTTTTTAAATTCTGTCCAAGAATTTTGTTTCAACAATGTATTTTCTTGCCAAGAATAGAAAACAGGATTTAACTGAAGAATAAGGTGAGCATTTGCAACTCATGCAATAAAATGTTTTATGACAGTGCCAACTACGTGTATATTCTTAGTTGGTGGTTGCTTATAACAGACTGATTATTTTTAAAGCAAGCAATTACTATAACAGATTATAAGTTGCTTGATTATTTTTACAGTTCCTATGTTATTTAATTTATAATTACTTATACTTTTATTAATCATGATAAATCTCTTGGATTGCACGAAATTGTGATTTTCCCCCTAATCCCCAAAGCCAAATATCTTCAAAGAACATGAAAATACTATGAGTTTGATTGTATGTGGCATAGGTAAAACAAAAACATTCTACGAATTAACTTGTAGCTGGCCCCTAAACACAAACTTCAACCTAAGAGATAACTCGTAGTTGGCAGCAACCATGTTAATGAAATATTTGAAACAAAGACTCCCCAAAATAAAAATAAATTACAAATTCCATTACAGAAATATTTATATGTGACAAAAATGGAGCTATTTGCATTTACTATTGTGATGAACATGTTAGTGGGAAAAAATGGACAGATTGAATGGAAATTGGATTTTTTTAAACAGTAGTTAAATAGTAAATCTCACTGCCCAGCCGGCAGTGGACCCTGACCTTGGCAGTGGGCCTGATGGGCCCAGGTTCGAATCTGGAGAAGGCAAGGTTGTAAGTGTCTGTCCGTTAATAGAGGCAACAGTGGCCACTTTATTAGGTGCTTCCATGATGAAATAGCCAATACTTCCGTTGCAGTAGTGCATGGCTGATAGCTATTAAATAAAGTGCCTGGCCTTTAAAAAAATGTCCATGAGATGAAGAAGCAAACATCCCTTGGCAACAAGGCATCCTTCGGTAACAAGATTAATAAGTTTATTAAATGAGACCCCCATATGAAAGATGAAGTAAAACATTCATTTGAGAAGTGAAAATACTGATTGATAGTGTATTACTAGCAAAAAAAATGAACATTTTGTTGCACTCTACCTAGAATATAAATGATCATATGCCAAAATATGTTAAAATTCCAGAAAATCGGTGACTTAAGAATTATGCTTTCATATTATTATAAATTATTAATTCTGTGGCAAAAACGGACATGATAAAAAAACTCAAGGCATCTAATTTTCACACTTTAACTTTCAACGAAAGTATTGATATTTCAATAGCCAAATGCTGAACACTGTATGTAAAATTTACATATCAACAGAATAATCAGTAAAAAACTATTTTTGATGGAATAACTCAATTAAAATTATGTGATGCTTTTTCAATTGCTTCTGTAATAAAATAATTTTATATGGAAAATAATATCGATTTATAAAAATGATTATGTCTACTTCTGATGACGCAGCTGTTATGCTAGATAAGATAAAGGGAGTATCACTAAAACTAAAAGAAAATATCCCACATTTAGTTCATATCATAAAAATTTGGGTATCAGTCAATGCTTCAAAAGTAGTTGATGAGAGATATTGAAGCACTAATGATATTTGTTTATAAAAGTATAATTTTAAGTCTTAATATTTTGGCAATGTTAATTTTTTTAATGATTGTAAAAGACTGAGCTAATGTATCTGATACCAGTTGCGAATCTTATAAATAGAATGTGATATTCTTGCTATGATAATTGTTCTTTAATAAAGTATTTTTTATGCCTTAATTTTTAATGTTTCTTATCGAAGTAGATGTTGTTTAGAAAATATAACATTTAGAAACCATTAACAATTGGCAGGAGAGCATGCTAGCTGGTTTGCTGATAATTTTCATACAGAACATTGATGTAAGAATATTATTGATTTCTTTAAGAAATAAATCTGATTTATATAATAATTTGTGAACATAAATTATAAAAGAAAAAATATGGCATATAATATGATAAATTTGATTCACATGCAAACTGATAGAAATAAGAACCTTTTGGGAGTAGAAAATATTCTACAAGTACCTAATTTAAATGAAACTGTCAGTACCAAAAATTGTTGATCATAATTTAAAAGTAAATTTTAACCAAAACTAAAGCACAAATGATCAATAAACATGGAAACAGTCTGTATATAGCTGACAGAAATATAAATAAATTTGCTGAAGTTGAAGAAAACCTAAGATGTTAATATTAGTAATGTTAATGATGTACTGTGGCATCAAAGAATAACTCACCTAAACTATGAAAGATTAATAGAAGTGAAGTACCACTCATCAGTCACTTGATTAGAAAATGTACAATTAGAAAAACAATTGCAAACCATGCACATTAAGAAAAATGAAAGGAACTTCTAAAAGAGTGAAATTCAAGTAATCTGAAGCTATTTTAGAATTATGGCATACAGACTTAGCTGGACCAATCGAGAAGTCAATAGATGGAAGTTATTTTCTACCAGTGGTAGATGATTACAGTAACTCCATATTTGTGATTACAACTGAGAAAAAGAGTGAAACTCCAGAATCTTTAATAAAGCTTATCATTTAAAAAGAAAGAAAGACAAACAGGAAAGAAACTAAAAAGAATTTGTGGTGATAATGGCAGCGAATTCTTAGCTAAAAGAATAAAAGAATTTTTTGGAAAAATGAGAATTAAACATGAACTTACAATGGCTTATTCTCCAAAGAGTAATGGAACAGCTGAGCTTTTTAATCCTACTAATAAACAAAACTGTTAGAACTATGTTGATTGATGTAGAATTAATGAAAAAATTTTGGAGTGGAAGTGTTAAAGCTGTAAGGATTATGTTAATTTTATTAACAGTTAAATTTTAATTTAATGTTCCTTTCCTGTCAAATTCTTAACTTCAACTTACTACTTCCGGCCAGAATGTAGTTTTAGAATCACATCTGAATACATAATGAGGAAGAGTAGTATTTAACCACGAAGTTCTTTAGTCTTAGAGAGAGAGAATCAGAGTTTTTGATTTACGTGCATCTGTCTTTTGGCTACCCTCTCTCTCAAAGCTGTTATTATGCTAGGCCGTATTCAGCTTCATAGTCAAATAGAGCTTCATAGATAAGCTTCATAGTCAAATAGAGTTAAGGGGCCAACTAGTCCAGAATCTTTACAGCTTCAGCTATACTTCTTTAGT